ATGAGCCCGGCACGCAGCGGTCCGCGCAGTTCGGCTGCACATCCAGCCTCCAGCAAAGAGGAGGGCAGCGCTCGGGCAGGGTTGGCAACTTCTGCTGGGCACTGAAGMGCAGCCGCTCCTTGAGTGTTTCCAGGAGAACCGATACCCTCCAAACCTGGACAACGCGAGTGCCGTTGTCCCTGCTCCTTGCTCCCACCATCCTAAGAAGCCCCTTGGCATTCCTGATACCATTAATTCTAAATTCTTAATTCTGACCTGACCAAAAATCATTCTGTTGATAATCTCAGATGTGAAATGGACCCAGAACCCTTCTCTTCCTTGGGACACTTGAGCTGCATGTAGTTGTGCTTCAAACACATGGCCATGTACCTGCCCTCACTGTGCAAGGATTTACTCTTGGTATCCTCTTAAGAAAAATGACTTGCAGGTACTTTAGCAGGAAAAAAAAAAGACCAGCCACCTACTATCACTAAGTGTTTCCTAACCGATTATTTTTGTTTTGCTTCTGGAGTTAAATTGAGTCTGTAATTAAGTGTCTGGGGAATGCAGAAGCAGTGGAATACTTCCATTTCTGACCAAATCCAGGGCAAACTGTCGCGTCTCGGTCGATGGGGGAGCCACATACGTGATGCAGAGGGTGCCGGGCTGGCCCCAAGGCGCCGCGGCGGCTCGGCTGGCRCCGCAGAGCTGCCCGGAGCAGGGAGAGCGCTCGGCCCTCGTGCGATCGATGGAACCGCTTGCAAATATTCATTGAAATCAAGTAATTGCAGCCGCTTGCAAAGGCAGGGAAAAGTTTTATTGACTCAACTTCTTCTCGTCAATGCTGTGGAAGAGGCAAAGCCGTGAGCAGCAGAGCTTGCGGCGGGAGGAACTTGGACACTCTCCTCATGGAGACACCCCAAAACGTCGGAAAGGTGGCTGAGCACCCTGGAAAAAGTTGGAAAGTGCTCGGATAACCCCCCCACCTTGGCAGGGATGGCCAAAGCAGGCTGCTCCCTGACGTGAGTTATGGCACCCAGGCCACTTCCAGGCCTTGGGCAGCTTTTATGGGAACTGTTTCAATTTCCAGTGAGGCTTTTTGTGGAGATTTCTTGTCACTTTTGCCCACAAGACAGAGCGAAATGTGGGGTACGACGGTAAATCACRCAGCGGGTTTTAGCACCAGCCTTGGCCTCTGCTGCTCTAAAGTTAACGATGGGGGCAGGTGCCGAGGAGATGAAGTTTTAGACCATTATTTTAAGCAGGGAACCAAGCTCAGGAACCTGCCTGCGGGCTCCTGGAAACAGCGACACGGGACGCGGGAGAGATCAACGTGGCCTCCCCCCAGCACAGCCCATGCTCGGTCAGTCACCTGCCCGCACAGTCCCTTTCTCCAGCCTTTTGCAATCTAAACAGCAGGTTTTGCGGCCACTGCTAAGTGATGTGATCAACATCAATTACCTACTAAAAGAGACTCAAGTCTTGGTTTAAAATTAAGTGCTGCATTTTGCCATGTTCTTTATATGTAGCCAGCAGAATAATTGCAGCGACATAAAAACTAATTACACACCGCCACAATTAGGCCTCCCTCCTAGTGCTGTGATTGTCTTTAAGCAYGCTGCTGACAAAGTGCTCCCAGACCTCAATTACCATCGTGCACTGTCGATTCTTCAATATCTTCTGGAGAGAAAACCCTGTCCCATCAGATCAAAACAATACTGTTGAGGGACTTGATCACAAAATGCAAAAGAAATAATACAGTGCCAAGTGCATTTTTTAATCTCTTTCACAAAGGAGTMATTTCCAGGCAGTGGGACTAAACTGTGGTTTTGTTATTGCTTCTTCTGCTGTGCCTGATAGAGAGGGCTTGACTCTTTCCCAGCCCTGGTCCTCCAAAGCACTGCTGCCCATGTGGAATAGCCCTGTCCGGGCTGACGGCAATGCTCACAGCCCTGCCTGGCCAAGGGACAGGAGGGTCACAGCAAACAGGAGGGGGAACTTGACTATCACAGTATTTTCAGCCCCGAGCATTGGAAAATCGGGAATTATGTCCTGCCGGCAATCATGCAGCTGCCTGAAAAATCATGGCATTAGAACCCAATAAATCCATGACGTGCGTTTTACGGTCTTTCTGCGTTTTGAGCCTTCAGGAGGCTGACTCTGAGGTGTTTATACCCACCCAGGAAAGATTGAAAACATTTCATTTCCTTGAAATGAAAGTTGCGATTYTAATACAATCTATCACCTGACTGCGGGGACTGGAGGCACAAAACACAGGAGGCTTGAGAGAAAATGATGAGGACTGGAAGCCTGCCTCCATGCGCTTGCCAGAGCATCCCAGCCCCGCTGCCGGCCCTTCTGGTGTTCAGCGGCAACTCCGAGGCTTATTCCGCCCTGGAGCTGGCTCATAAATCCCTCACGCAGCTTTCTCACCTCTCTCCTGCCTCAATCCATTCTGTCTTTGCTTTTCCCGTGCTGATATAATAAGGATGCCAGAAAATGTAACGGTCTTGGCTCTGGAAGGCACTGCTTTCACCTCAAATCTCTGTCTGCTTGTGCGCCTTACATAACAAGGGGGAAAAGAGCCCTCCCGAAGGCCTCGGTGGCAAGGAGGCCTCCATGSTGCTGATGGCAGTGCTGGTATCTGAGGCACCAAAGCTGCAAATCTGGCCTCTGTGAAAATAAACGACACTATGAAAATAAAACCAATTACAGCTGTTAGGTGCACGCTGGCCGCTCGGCTCAAGAACTCAGCGCTTAGGGTGCAGGGAAGATGTGGAGGCTGTGGTGGAGAGAACAGTGTCTGCCTCTCTTCGTGGGTCTCTCTGGGGACAGCAGCCTTGCTGTGGCCTTAGGAGCAGGATGCAGTGGCAGAAGGGCCCTCCTGCCCTCATGTCTTTCGGGGCCTGCTCCGGAGACAGCGGAGGAGAAGCAGCTTGCGTGCCTTCCCATCTGACTTTCTCACCTCCTTTTCAGTGTGGTCCAGAGGAGCTTAGGTGCCGAGACTGTGGATTAACACCCTTGTATTTACCTGAAACTTCACCATCTCCCTCCGAAAGTGTGAAAAACAAGGAGGGACGGATGTGAGGTGAAAGCAGCCGGTGGCAGGCAGGACATGTGGGACTGCGTCTGACGCATGGATGTGCAGATATCACCTCCTCCCTTCCCTGCAGCCCAGGGGATGGCAGGGAACTCGAGATGACAGAGGACCAGGCCCCGCTGCAGCCCTGCTAGCCAGAGAGAAGGGCCACCGTGGCCGTGTGCCACGCAGCCTTTTGTGGCTGCTGTTCAGGTGACCGTGGCTCTCTGTTCCCCTCCAACTTCTCTCCTGGCAGTGTCCCTGTGAAGGAGACAGTGGTTCAGCACAATCAAGGTAGCCCCRAAGCCATGGCCTGAGTGCGGGAAATGCCCCTGCAGGGTCTTTGCAGCAACCCCGACTCTTSTCCGTGACTGCTCCGACTGACTGGGAGCTGAAACCAAAAATGTGGAGTCCAGGCATCGAATTGTGACAGGATCCACTGGCAGAAGCCATTGACTCTSAACACTGTCCTGCCCTCTGTGTGGAGCTCAGTGGTACCTCTGGTGCACCAGCTCAACCTAAATGACGCCAGTGGCTCAAGCCACTCAGCAGAGATCCTGGGATCCTGGCCTGCATCAGGAGGAGCGTTGCCAGCAGGTCAAGGGAGGTGATTCTGCCCCTCTACTCAGCTCTGGTGAGGCCGCATCTGGAGTACAGCGTGCAGTTCTGGGCTCCCCAGTATAAAAGGGACGTGGAGCTCCTGGAGAGGGTCCACTGGAGAGCTACAAAGATGATTAAGGGACTGGGACATACCTCGTATGAGGAAACACTGCGTGAGTTGGGCCTGTTCAGCTTGGAGAAGAGAAGGCAGAGAGGTGATCTTATTAACATGTATAAATACATGAAGGGAGATTGCAGGGAGGAGGCGCCAAGCTTTTCTCAGTGGTGGCCAGTGATAGGACAAGGGGTAATGGGTGCAAGCTGAAACACAGGAGGTTCCATCTCCAGGTGAGGAGGAACTTCTTTACTGTGAGGGTGACAGAGCAGTGGAACAGGCTGCCCAGGGAGGTTGTGGAGKCTCCTTCTCTGGAGGTCTTCAAAACCCGCCTGGATGCCGCCCTGTGCCACATGCTCTAGGTGTGCCTGCTTGGGCAGGAGGGTTGGACTGGATGATCTTCAAAGATCCCTTCCAGCCTTTAAGATTCTGTGATTCTGTGATTCAGCAGCCGTAGGAGCTTTTCTGGCTCCTAACTGCTCGTGTGATCATTTTCCTCCTTTCTCCCTTTCTTTCTCGGACAGCAATAAGCACACAGAGGCGCATGTGCTGTGCCTTTCGCTGTCCCTCAGCAGTGCGCTCTGCAATGCTGCGCTCACCGATGCCTGCCCTGTCGCARCAAAGCCATGGTGCCCGCGAAGAGCAAATACGAGGCCTTTTATTTGCCTTCCTCCCTCCCCTCGTGCTGGTTAAGCAGATTTTGGATGAGCTGTTGCACAGCTGGCACCCAAAAATGATGAAAAAAGAGTGATCTCTGCAGGCTAATAGAAGTCAGCGGGATGACGTGAGATAACCAAAGCAAAACCAGGGGCAGCACAGTACACTGCAAAAGGGSAGAACTTCAGTGCTAAACCAAAGACAAAACCCTGCTGGCAAGCGACTGGCTTCGGCATTGGGCCACCACCCTGTACCCTGAGYGACACAGGCACCATTTGGAAAAGTAATTTATTTAACCGCTTCCCTCCAATTAATACTGAAGTTTGTCCGTCATTTCCAGGATGACTGGTTTCCCTGTGGCTTGATTCTGCTTTAATGGGATCGAAACGCGCTGTCACGGTCCTGCCGCCCGCTCCCGCCTCAGGCGGGTCGGCGCCAACGGCGGCAACGGCCGCGGGGGCGGGGCCTGGCGCGGGGGGCGGGGCCTCGGCCATGCGGCGAGCGCTGATTGGTGCCGAGGGGGTGGGCGGGGCGCTCCGGCGGTGCCGAGGAGGGGGCGAGCGGAGCGTGCGCAGTGCGGAGCGGTGAGTGCGGCGCCCTCCCACGTGGGCCGGGGTCGCGGCCGCCCCCMGCTTTCCCGCCCCTTAAGGCGCGGCGGCCGTTGGGGCGGCCGTTGGTGGCGGCCGTTGGGGCGGCGGGGCGCGTCCGGAGCGTGGCCGGGGGGTGGCGGCCTGGAGAGGCGGGGCAGTAAACGCAGCACGGAAATAAATGCAGTCCAAGGCGGTCAAAGTGTGTTTTTGTCTGCRGGTTGCCCAGGTCTTGGTTAATGCACTTCAATTATTTTGGTACGAGCCTGTGTGTGGGAAGAGCAGGGAAAATTACACGTTGCACTCAACAAGGAAGCAAAAGCCCAGCAAATGAGATGCTTGTACACAAATATAAAATACTGCCGTAAATTACTTGATTGCTCTGGTTGTCTGAATGCTCTTGCTAGGGCCCACCTTTCATGAGTAATCAGCGTCTCTCAAGGTGCCCTGGGTTGACGTGAGCAAGTTTTCTGGACGTTGCATCACAGTGGCACGTTATTTATTTTTGGGTGCTTTGCTGGTGCAAAACTGGCCTCATGTAGACAGGGTTTAGACACTGCTCATACAATTAAGCCGCTCGCCAAAAGAGGGGGATCTTGCAGGAGCAAAGGAGCTGCTGTTGGCAGAGCTGCCTCCCTTCGGAGGCTGCTGCTGGGCTCAGAGAGCTCCTGAGCGTAGAGAAGCCTCTGGAGCGTCTTTCACAGAACACGCAGCTGCCTTAAGTGCTCTGAAGGGATTCAGTCTTCCTTTTTTTCTCCCTCTTTTTGATTCCRATAGCAAAATCAATTGCTTTAAAATGACCCCCAGCCTCACCCCAGTGTTTTTCAGCAGCCCCCAAGGCATTCGTGGGGTGGAAATGGTCAGAGGGCCGTCCCAAGGCTTCGGTGCAGCCTGTGGGAGTGGGAACAGTCTTTGCTGTGCCCGGCAGGACACACTTTACTGTCTGTACGGCCTCTTCTTACTAGATGTCAAGCTCATAAATACATTCCTTTCTGTGGAAATAAGCTGGAAAGTGGCAATTCCCAATGAGCTGCCGCCACAGCTGCCCAAATGCCCTGGAGAGGCAAAAGGCAGGAATTGCTACCTGCCTTGTCACTGTCGGGGAAATTCCTTAGCGTGAGTAGTAAAACACTCCAAAAACCTCCCCAGCACCCCCAAATCCCCTCTAGCTGCTCTTATTTCTCGCGGAATTTGAAGGCTAATGCAGATATGGTCAAGCTGGGCAGGTGTGACTGAAAGCACACRAACTCTACCCTGAAAATTTGCCAGGTAATGGATTAATGGGATAAATCCAGGCATGACAGGTCTCCTATGTGCTGAACCCCCTGCCCTCCTCTGTGGCCCTTCACCGCCTGCTTCAGCTCTCTTGCCACTCAGTTCCCCCCCCCCGAGAAATAGTGTTTCATTCCGACTTTCAAAGTGGGGGAATGAGCTTCACTTGAGATTTGTTGTGCACTTTGTTGATAAGCTCTATATAAAGCCAGTTATTATTTATTGTTAACATGCTGCTATTCTTAGCACCTGAAATCAGTAATGACACAACACCAGGGATCTTCTGGGAAGCAGCCGTGTGAAAGCAGACAAAGTGTCTCCCAAAGGTTCTGTGAAACCGCTGCTGGCCRTGGTTCAAAAGGCGGCTTGTTCCTCGGCCTCTGCTTAAAAAAACCCACGGATCCTCTCAAGGCAATGGGAAGTCCTAAATGCGCTAATTTTCCTGGAAGTTAGGCACAAATTTTGCATGAGATTTGCTCTGCTTGGAGCGTTTATTGCTCCTTGAAGCAAGATGTTTTCAAAGCACCTGCTTCCTTGCCCTGCATTTAGTAGCCCTTATGTCCGGTAGGATGATCCGAAGTCGTCAGGGATTCCCCGCTGGCCTGGCTGATGATCCTTTCCTTTCTGAGAGCTGATGAAGACATGAGCTGAACGGCTGTTCTTTGGGGTGCTGTGTGGGCGCCTTTCCGTAGTATAAGGAGCTCTGATGTGTTTTGCTCTTAGCTCTGACTGCCGTAGCAGTGTAGGAGTGGCTAGGCAGAGAAGGCTAAAACCAAACACAGCCCTGGAAAAGTCATCTTTATACCTGGGTTTCAAGCCACACTCAAGGCCAGCACTCAGTGTAGCCTCCCAGCTCTGCCCTGCCGAGTGGAATAATTTCATTCCGTGTCTTACAGCTGCTATGAAATCCCCGAGCGCCTCTTTGGCTCTTGCAGCTGGAGCGGGGGTGTCACTCTGCTAATACACGTTTCATTTCTTAGTCCACTCCAGTCACTAATTTCATTCAGCGTTAACTCTGCTAGCTCATTTTYCCCCACACTATATTTGTGCATTTGACTTTTTAACCTTTTTATTTTCTTCTTCCTTTCTAACTTTGCGTTGTCTTTATTGCCTTTCTTCTTATTGATTTTTTTTTGTTTGTTTCTCAGACCTTTTCTTCACTTTATCAGTTCCCCTCCCGACCTCCAGAGCGCTTCCCCCTCTAGCTGCTGGGCACTGTTGCAGGTTTCCTAAAAGTACTTTCTTTTTCATTGCTCAGGCCATTAATGAAAGGGCTGAGTAGCAGCAGCCCCGCTCAGAGCCACCGGGGCCTCTCCTTGAAATTTTCTTCCCTTTCTTTTTGCCTTTTTGACAGGGAATCGTTGGTAGCTGCTCGGAGCAGGCGGTGCTTGGCAGTGCTTTGGTTTTTCCCTCTGGCAGCGGGGTGCCTCATTAAGGTGAGCTCGCCTGCTCTGATTCCTCTGCTTGGCTTTGGAGTGTCAGGCGCCATGAGAAGCCCGGCGGCTTCCTCGCCGGAGGCCACGCGGGCGGCTCGCTGCGGAGGACGATGCTGAAGACCATGATGTAAAGAGCTCTCTGAATCTCCTTCTAGCGGGTGCTGCGTTCTGGGCCGCTCGCTGGGAGCTCCTGCTTGKGCTGGTGTCACTCGGAGCCAGCCCCGCAGTCCCTCGGCCACCTCATGCGCTGCTCCTACCAGAGTTCCCCTCAGGAATGTCCTCCCTGGAGGTCCTGCCGCTGTGGCTGCCCGCGCTGCGAGGAGCAGCTTTCGAGGCAGCTTTCCCTGCAAATGGGGCAGCCAAGTGTCCTTGCGCGTTGGGGTGACACTGCGGGGACAGGCACAGAGGGAGTTTGTGCCCATAGTGTCCTGCTGCCCTTTGATTCTCCCTAAGTGAGACTTTGGCTTGGCTGGACGTGACTGTGCTTGTAAAAACACATTTTTCTGCCCAAGTATTTCTGAAAAAAAGTTTCTTGGCTGGTTACCCCTCCCTGGAATAAAAATGAGGTGCTCTGGAATAATTAATTACAATCATTTTTTATGCCCAAATAGGGCACAGAAATGCTCTCCCCATGGCAGCAATTCCAGAATATCTTGTCCAGYTCGAGCTGTGCTGATTGCATTCCCAGTGCAAACTAAGCTCCAAGAGGAGGGAATTGCTGTAAGTGGAATGTCTGTGTGCTGGAGCAACCGTGCCCCATGTGTCCTGCTTTACTGCCCTGTGGCTGATGGGGATTGGTGACTCTGGGGRCTGGTTTATTCCCCTTGAGATCCCAATAGCACTTTTTTATAGATGCGGTGTGTCCAGACCAAAATTCAGCTTGAAGGGAGCAAAATYCCCTTCCCAGAGTCATTCCAGTGCTTTCTGTTGGATCCTCCTCCTTTTGGGGGCTGCAAGTTCTAATTAAAAATTGGTAAAAAGGCCACGTTCCACTCTGGGTATGGTTGAGTCTTGGCCGTGGGCAACTTGCTTCCCCAGTTCAGCTTGTAAAGCCCTGGGGGCTTCACGGGGTGAAGGACGCTGCATTTTCATCCTAGGTTTGTGTGTGTGGATGATTCTGTGGGTTTTCAGTGAGCTGCTTGCAAGAGCCCTGGTTATATTGGTTTCCTGCAGAGCCAGAATCTTTGCCAATTCAAAAATCTGCTGCACGGAGAGGAAAGGCAACAGGAAAGGGGCTTGGAAACGTGAGTGTCGCCGGGAGAGGTGGGAGGAAGATGCCCATGTTGCTCTGAGGGCGATACCAAGCGCAGGTATCTATCACTCAGCCCCGAAAGAGAAGTCGTGATTTTTAACAGCTGCCTATTTAAGCCACACTGGTTTCATCRGCAGGAGTTTGTAAAGGTTTAACTGTTAATTTTAGAATTTTTATTTCGAGCATGCCTCTATAAAATTAACTTCTGCAACGTGGAACATTTTAATATCTTCCGTGTTGGCGCTCATTTGCAAGAAATCTATGCGTAATTATTTCTTATGTACCAGTTAAATCTATCAGCCAACAGATGTCAAGTGTAGCAAAAATGCTATAATAATATTATGGTCTAATAATAGTTATAATGATTCTAATTACCTGGCACAGCTTTTGAGCAAAGCAGCCTCGGAGCTTTGTGCAAGTGAAATGTTTAACCTTGGACTCCGGCCGTGCAGAGCGGGCACACGCGTAGCTGCCGTGCCCGTGTCYCCTCCTCCCTACTAGACATCCCCATCACTTTGCTCCTCAAACGAAGCAGGACATGGATGGTTTTAAATGCTAAAAACTCATTCTCGACATGTGCAGGGGCGCAAAGCGCTGAGCAGGTTGCTTGGGCTGCTCGGGAATGCGAAGGCTGGGCCTCTGGAAACGCCTCCTGTGGTCGCTTGGCAGGTGCGTCTGCTGCCTGGTGCTTGCTGCACACACGGATCTGCTTTCCCCTGGGAAAACTCAGCAATCCGTAGCTTTTGCCCCTGTCAGTTGTGCTGATTTAAAGGACCCAGAAGCCGCAGACRAAGCCTGGAAAGCACCACCCAGCAGCTCTGCCACTGTTACTGCTTTTCCTTTCTTTAGGAAGGATCCTGGGGCTGCTCGCTTCAGTTTTGCAAGTGCAGAGCTTTTGGGAAGCCGGCGATTCACGGAGGAGGACTCTGGGCACAGAGGGGGTGCAGGATGGACTGGAAGTCGTTGTCTTTCTGTATTCCCGTGCCAGCCTGTTTCCCATAAATAAGAGTTTTACTGTGCTAGCAGGAGCTCAGCAG